AAATTCGTTGTGGTCAGAGCACGAGCCGAAAACCTACTACAGGCAGGCTCAAAGTTCGCCAACGTCATAGACTAGCTCACCCACCAAAGTATGGAACTCTAGAGTGGAGGTCTAGCAAACGACTCTCAGAACGAGAGGAGACCTGGCTACACTCAACTCTAAAACAGTTAGTGAGGCTCAAAGGAAAGAGCCTACACATTAATACTGTCTAAGCGGAGCTCTGGAGAGTGTAGGCTTCAGCAGAATGACTCTCTTTAACAAGTCTAACAACGCTCAGGTGGTAGGGGAACTCTTAAGAGTGGAGGTCTCAGAAAAAAACTCTCTAGAACGAGAGGAGACTTAGCTACACTCAACACCAGAGGCAGTTAGTGAGACTCAAAAGAAAGAGCCTACATACACTCAATGCTAGAGACAGTTAGCAAGGCTCACAATAGAGCCTAAGAGTACTGCCTAAGCAGAGCTCTGAAGAGCGGAGACTTCAGCAGAATGACTCTCTTAAACGAGAGGAAGTCTATCAACACTCAACCCTAATTGAGAAGCTCTAAAATTGGAGGTCTCAGCATAACGACTCTCAAGAACAGCTGGTCAGGGAGGCTCACAGAGAGCCTCACAACCTGAAATAACTGCAAAACAAAAATACTAGGGAGCAGAGTGCTCAGCATAACTCTCTAGGCGAGAGGAGCAAAACCCATGCTCAACCTAAATCCAATAATGTAGATATCAGAGGTTTTTGGCATTGAACTACAATCGACATCTCACATTATACACAGTTCCTATTCTGTAAAATAAATAGAAACAAAAAAAGAAATTCTGAAAGAGAAAGCACTCCTCATCAGATTCCTTCCATGTCTGACTAACTGCCTCGGCAACCGCGAGACCTGAAACGCGGGTGAGAGGCGCTCAATTCTCAAAGGAATTCTGAAAGAGAAAGCAGTCCTCGTCAGATTCCTTCCATGCCCTGACTACAATCCCCGTGATCGGTCTGATTAACTGCCTCAGCAGCCGCGAGACCCGAAATGCGGGTGAGAGGCGCTCAATTCTCAAAGAGAATCAGGCATACAGGCATTCTCAACGCGATCACATCTCGCAGCGTGGCTAATCTCCGTCGAGAGCCAAACACACTCTGTTCAAACACTAAATTCTCTCAAGAATCAGGCAAGAACAGAAACCACCGCGAATGCATCGCATTAAGCTCGTTCAACTCCCTGGAGAGGCGAACGCGCTCGCGCAAACGCTGACAAAACTTGAGTACAGACCTCTGCTCTAGTAGTCTTCTTGTTCGCGTTCTTATTTACATCATAGGCTGCCACCTGCCAATGTCAAGTTCATTGTCGTTTTTTCATTCATGCTTCAGACACCGGTCACGCTGAAGGCGTTCCCCTAGCGCCCTCTAGAGGACGCAGTGTGGAGTTCCCTTTCGAAAGGGAACTTTGCTTTATTTTTTTGTAGATGTGATGCTGTGGAATATGATAGACATTTGGAAACAGAAGACACAATATATTTTACCTGTACTATAATTTTTTCATTAATAACTGCTTGGAATGGCAGGGGCAGAAGCACACAACTCACACTTACACTCACACTCTTACATACTGAGCACTTACATAGTGAGCACTTTTCCTTTGCTGAGATAATCCATCCACCTCACAGGTGTGGCATATCAAGATGCTGATTAGAAAGCATGATTATTGCACAGGTGTGCCTTAGGCTGGCCACAATAAAAGGCCACTCTAAAATGTGCAGTTTTACTGTATTGGGGGGTCCGAAAACCAGTCAGTATCTGGTGTGACCACCATTTGCCTCACGCAGTGCAACACATCTCCTTCGCATAGAGTTGATCAGGTTGTTGATTGTGGCCTGTGGAATGTTGATCCACTCCTCTTCAATGGCTGTGCGAAGTTGCTGGATACTAACACACTATCACTAACAGAAATTTAGACAGATTTGTGAACAATATTTGAGAGAAATAGGCCTTTTGTTTACATAGAAAAAGTCTTAGATCTTTGAGTTCAGCTCATGAAAAATGGGGGCAAAAAAAAAAGTGTTGCGTTTATAATTTTGTTCAGTGTATGTTCTCGGACCTCTTATCACCCCATCTTAGTGTGGATGAGACGGTTAATATTTTTAATATATTTCATATTTTTAATGCTTGGATACATTAGATCAGGTGGCATAGCAAGCACAAATCAGCTCCATGGTTGAATGAACATATCAGGTCCCTAAAAAGGGAATGTAGAAGATGTGAATGAAAATGGAAGAAAGTTAAGTTACAAATCTCTTACGAAATGCTGAACGAAATGCTGTCTAAATTTCAACGAGCTGTAAAATTTGCTAGGACAAGCTACTTCACAAATATTATTGAAAAAAATCGGCAAAATCCGATAGTTCTTTTTTCAACGATTGACTCTGTTCTGAACCCTAAATTAGAGGTGTCTGCCGATACATCTGTTGAATTATGTGAAAGCTTTTTACAATTCTTTGTCGGTCGAATATCAGAGGTTCGAAATAATATACAGCAGTGTACATATGTGCCTTTGACTGCACCAGAAAGCCCTGCTATGCTATCGGAATTTGAGCCTATCTCCATATCCACTGTTAATGACATTGTTTCTAAGCTGAAGCCTACATTTGCTCCTCAAGACAATATTCTGACATCTGTTAAGGCAAATCATCGAAACGGTCGGTCCATATATAGTTTCTATAATAAATAAAAGTTTTATTTCAGGGATCGTGCCCGACTACTGTAAACACGCTGTAGTTCAGCCCTTACTGAAAAAAAGAAAATTTGGATAAAAGTGTTCTCTGCAACTATAGACCAATCTCTAAACTTCTATTTCTGGCCAAGATTTTAGAGAAAAGTGTTATTATTCAACTGGAGTCATTCCTTGATGAAAATGATATTTGTGAAATATTTCAGTCAGGTTTTAAGAAGCATCATAGCACAGAAACAGTAGTATTAAAGGTTTTTAATTATATTTTTTGGCAACCGATCAAGGGAATATGACTGCACTTTTGCTTTTAGATCTTACAGCAGCATTTGACACAATTTAGCAACATATTCTCATCTCACGACTTGAAACATGTGCTGGCATCTCTGGAAATGCCTTAAATTGGTTTAAATCATATTTGTTAAATAGAAGTTTCTCTGTTGGTATGGGTGAGTGTACATCAGTTTCATCACCTTTATCATGTGGTATTCCTCAAGGGTCTGTGTTGGTACCGCTTCTCTTCTCTCTCTATATGCTCCCATTAGGTTCGATTCTGCATAAATACAGTGTGTCCTTTCACTGCTACGCAGACGATACACAATTGTATGACCATTTAAGTCAAATGATTCCACTGCCATGGAAAGATTGTTGGCCTGTCTGAATGATGTCAAGGCATGGATGTCTGTACATTTTTTGAGCCTAAATGAATTGGAAACAGAATTGATTCCTTTTGGTCCCTCTGAACCTGATAACGCAGTTCAAATTAAGCTGGGTCCCCTGAGCCCTTTTAGGAAACATCATGTAAACAAATTGGGGATGATTTGCAATAGTGCACTAAAATTCGACAAGCAGATAAATGAATAATCAATAAAAAGTTTTAGACAGACTACAGATGGTCCAAAATGTGGCTGCAAGAATGCTCACAGGCACTTGTAAATTAGATCATATTACCCCTGTGTTAAAATCATTGCCTTGGTTGGCTGTTTCTTTTCAAATTAATTTCAAAATTGTATTGTGGGGGTCGCGCATTTGCAAGGAACAGCTTGCTGTTATATATTAGGGACGTACCGACACTCGGTCAGTTTAAAAGCAACTTGAAAACATATTTTTTTATGATAGTGTTCAAACTTAGATAAGTGCGAAGGTTGCTAGTACCATATATGCCTCTTCTGATCCTAGTTAAGATGCATTTTGATTGTCTTTTTTAAGGTTTATTTTTTTATGTTACTTATATAATTATATGGATGAGATCCCTTTTTAAAAGTTGTCTTCTGCTCATTGTGTTACTGTTTGTAGAGCACTATGGTCAACGTTGTTTTATTCAGTGCTTTAGAAATACATTTGAATTTGAATTTCTTTACGGAAAATGAGCCAAGGCCAATAAGTCTTGAGTTTGAAAAAATAATTAATAGTATAATTTTTCTTTTGATAAAAAGTGAAAACGGGTCCCACATACCCGAACACCATACAAGAGTTAAAGCAGGTTTGATTTTTTTTTTCTTATCAGTCTATATTCACAGTAATTTCACTATCCACTCGGTTCACTTAGAGGTGTGCACACTGCCAGAGCTGTGTGAGATCACTACCTGCTTTTGTGGGGGTGCATAGAGGTGTTTTTTTGGTCAACTTGTTTAGTTTCTATAGGTTTGTAAAATTCTAAAAGCTCTTCATTCCAAAGATACTACAAGCTAGTCTGTGTATTCAGTAGGTGTAATGTATTGTAAATTGCTTCAGCTTTATAAGGTATTGCAAGTATTATATACAACAATAACAAAAGATTGTATTGTGATAAAAAGGGAAATTTACTTTTGGTACTTAAGTTTACAGTTTGAAAAGTTGTTTTATAGATTTGAAATGTGCTTGAATTTAAATGCCTTTTTTAAAATACTTACAGTGTGGTTTAAAAAAAAAAATTTTTATTATGAAAAATAACCTTAATGAAAGATGTTGTGAATCCCTAGCGCATCATGACAGAAGTGCACGTGAGGGATTGGCATCCAAAAATGACAGCTGGCTGGCATTTTTCTCAAAATGCAAAAATGAGACCTCCGAGTTTGCACACACCTTTTCAGAGCCGTCATTTTCTGTCTGAATAATAAAGTTTATCTTCACACAGGTGAGCAAATGTTAGCTGGATAATGAGAATCTCTATTCATATACACTCCTGAACAAAATCTTAAGACATTAATGCAAAACATTACAAGTATTCGCATTTCACACTGGTGGATCGTAACCAGGTTGTAAGTACTGCTTCAAAATGCCAAAAGAAGAAACAGGAGCAAGAGACAAAAAAACAAAAAGTAGGCAATTTATTGAAAACTGCATTTAAACAGGCTGTTCATCAACTGATCAACAAAATTCATCTTTGCCTGTACAATAACAACTGCATAAATTGTGTTGAAATTGTTTGATAAATACAATTATGAATATAGAAATATGATGAAAAAAATTAAATGATACTTTTAAATATGACACTAACACCAGCAGTATGCTAGGTGGCGGCAAATCCAGCACAACAGTATCAAAAGAAATAACATTAGAAATACGTTATTAGAAATAAGAAATAAGCCAAATTAGAAATAAGCCACTCAAATTCTCAGGTGCAGCATATGCGAGAGCTTCAGTTTCTGTTGTGTGTGCATCAGTGGACCTAGAAATAAATGGTACATGTTATGTTCATCATGTGAATGCATCATTTATTGCATTGTACTATTGTACTACAACACTAGCTACTACTACAATCAAAACGTTTATCTGTGATTAAAGAACAAATTCTCAGTTATCTGTGTTTGGGGTCTCAGAGTTTGGGTTCAGTGCGTCTCGTAGCGTATCCAGAATCGTCTGAAGCTCCTCTGAAGTCTCTTTTATTTTTGTCACAAATTTCATGGTCTCAGATTTCAGCTCTTCTGCTTGTTGAGTGTTTGAAGGCAGCAGGTTTGTTGTGTCGTTGTTATTTGGTGTCCAGTCATTCAACCCAGTGGTTTGGTTGCTGGTGGATTCTTGTCGACTCGATTTTAAAACGTAATCTCTGCGGATGTTGTGGATTTCTCTGGAGTCGAGAAAAACGAAGAATACGTCAACAGCTATGAAAAGTGCAGATAAAACCCCTGTAGCTGCTTCAGCCACACGAACTGCTCTTGCAGCCTGAGCTGCAATTTTCCCTACGTTTACGACTTGAGTTAAACGAAGAAGCTCCGGGATTCCTCCCAGTCCTCGTCCAAGTCGAGCTCCTGCTCTCATCCCGGATCGTGCATTGGAAAGTGACCCACTGCTTGTTGAAAACTCATTTTGTAGCGTTTCCACTGCTGTTGAGATGCTTTGGATGCAGCATATAATGGAGGTAATTTTCTCCTGGAACTCTGTTAAGATCATTTTAATCTTTTGTCTGTTTGTTTGCTGGTTAACCATGTTTGTTATGTTGCTGGCACCAGCTGTTATTCCACCAGCTACTGCCGTGCCGATTCCCACACCTGTCACTATCAGAGAGGCTCCAAGAGTGAACGGAGTGAGAATAAGTCCAACTATAGATGTGATTCCTCCAGCCAGACCTACTACACCTCCTGTGAGACTACTGACGGTTGTGTTGAAGTGGACCGTCTCCAAACCATCGGCCAGGTTTCTCATTACATCTAGCGTCTTATAAAGCTCATCAATAGTTTGTATGCTCTGAAAAATTACCAAATGATTCAAATCAATGCCTATGTCTGAAAAATTGACTTTCTCATTTCATAAAAGTAAAATGTAAACATTAGTAAATTAGCTTACCATTGTATGAAGGTGTTCAATGATAAAAGGCCTCATTAAGATCTCATTGACAGATGGCCGGAGCTCTGGATCCTTCTGAAGTGTGTCTTTCACAAGCTGACGAAGATCCTCAGAAAAGGTGTTGGGAAGAGCTTCGTAGGAGCAGGTGAGTATCTTTGTAACAATCTCAACTGTGTTTCTTGCTTTAAACTAAGAGGAATAATGATACGAGTTAACCAGTTGGTGGGATCTTAAAACAATGCATCAGTGAGTTCATACAAAAAAAAAAAAAAAACTTTTATGCCTATTGAGCCAAAACAATTACATTATACTGTTTTTTTTTTGTGTGTGTGTGAAAGTATTGTACAATAATATCAATTTTGCCAGCTAGATAACTTGTATGAATGATATCAAATTGCACAGTGTTGGCCTTTCTGAAAGCTTTAAATTTCTGCAATATATTACAAAATCAATGAATTTAGTTATATGAAGGATTAAATTGAACCAAAAATCTTACCGCACACTTCAGCATGCACAGCTCATAGATGACACATCCCAACCTCCGTAGTAACATCAGTCAAAATCAAACTATTCATACAGCCTCCAACTATTACATGGCAACATCTGAAATAAAATCGATTAATTGCAGACACTTCAGGCTCTCTATCGATCTCTGTGGTTGAAACATAAAAATACAAGTAATTTGCAAAGGAACATAATTCAATATTTTAATAAGTTGTGCCTCAACACTGGTCACTGATAATAGCAAATCTGCATTTTTGTAGGCTTACCGGGGTAAGACAAGAAAATTATACAATGGGATTTTTTTTCCTTTTCTATGTATTTTCTTTAATATATAACCGTACATAAATCAGAGTTTATTAGTGACATTTTACTTGTATTTTTATTTAGTGTTATCTAGAATAGATTTTCCAATACTGTCAGAAGTAGCTTTCAGACTCAATGAATTGAGTTACATTTGTACCTTGGGCTTCAGGTTTTTATGGAGGATCTGTTGATCATGCAGGTACTTTAATGCCATGCAGATCTTCACAGTCCAGTCCAGAATCTGTAAATCAATAAAATGTGAATTTATAAATCAGAAAGCTTTGCAACAGTTTTGTACTTTTAACACATTCTTTTTTATGATTAGTTTGAATAGAAAAAGCATCCAACATCTCATTAAATATTATCTGCATGAAGAGACTTATCACCAATGTTTTTTAATGCTTGTATTGCAGTGGTAATACTTCCTAACTACTGCTTTTCTGAACTGGCATGATAACCATGTTTTCAATTTTCAACATGCTGTGAGTTTAAACAGTGGGTTATGTTGGGTTAAGTCATGGGTTTTACTAGCAGTTAATAGTATAATTATAGTATTCAATGGTGATGGTTTAAATTTTACTATCTTTAAATCTGTAAACATACTGTACCTCATTCTCAGAAAATGTATCGGCTGCCTGTATTTTGAGTTTGATTTTCTGAGCAAGATCTCCACCCTCACAGAGCTCCAGTACAAGATACAGACAGTCAGGACCTGAAAGCAGATTCACTCATTACAGGATTTTAAATCATTAAAGTGATCAAACTACTGTAAATGAGAATACATATACTCATATAACTTTAGATGTGCTAACAGAATTAATTTCGAAGTTTATTTTAACCTGCAATGACTTCCTTGTGATGGACGATGTTGAGGTTGAGGCCTTTACCTTCCTTAAACAAGCAGAGCGACACAGACGGCGATTATCAAGGCAAAAATGGGCTGTAAAAACCAATGTAGAATCAGTCTTTCTGTATTGAGCAGAAATCTGGAGTTACACAATTAACAAAGGCCAGACGAAACACCAACAGACAAGACGAGAAGGGAAAAGGAAAAATTAAAAGTCCAAGAAAAACCTTATGCAGAGACCATTTGAATACTTTTGTTTGTATAATGGGTAACAGACAGTCAGTAAGACTTAATAAAAATGCAGTTCTAGTAATGGCTCAGGTCCAAAAGCAAAAAATATAGTCCAAAAAAGGAAAAAAGAGTTAGGATCAAAAAATAATCCAAATGAAAAAAATTGTGTAGGAGCAAATCCAATTGGAGTAAACAGCCTCAGTTTCACTTCATACAAACAGCAGCAGTATACAGTCTTTGATAAGTGCCGAAATAATAGTTCCTCAAATAAAACCACAGTATGCTCTCACCGTCTACCTCTCTCTTCCTTGTCTTTTATACCTGGAGTCTTACTCTCTCTACCTGAAGAGACTGACCCCTACAGATTTGGAAGATAATTACAAGGACATGATCTGGTACGAGTCTACTGAATAAAAAAAATCATGTCAAAACAACTAAAGAGAGCATTTAGCAATTCAAGGAGCTACAATCCTCATTCTTTCATCTTTATGATTGATTTTCAAAGTCCTCTATTTGATATCCGTATTAAAACAAGAGGCAAATAACTTGCCCTGTTACTTTAAATCCTTAAAGTACTTTAAATAGTTTAAGTCCAAAGGTTGCAATGATGCACATAGACTGTATGGTCACACTTTAGTTTGGGGACCAATTCTCACTATTAACTATGACTTTTGCCTCAATAAACTCCTAAGTTGCTGCGTATTAATAGTTAAGATAGTTGTTACGTTTCGGTATAGGGTTTATCTAAAATATGCTCATGCAGAACAAGGCATCAGTGCTTTATAAGTACTAATAAACTGCCAATATGCTAGTAATATGCAATAACATTAATTGTTGTAGGACAATGAAACATTGCAATGCAATATTGGTGTAATATATGTGTTGTCCTCTGTCAGGTGGATCCAGTAACAAGTTCTGTCTCAGCAGTTCATACTTTTTCATTTTCTCAGGTTCAACTAAAAATATCTGATATTCTGTCTGTTTTTTGGCTGATTTCTTTCACGCTATTTTTTAACTCACATATTCCTTTCTGCATATCATTAATGAATTTCTCTGCTTTCTCCTTAAACTCTCTTTTATGTATTTGTTCCTGTCTGGGTCTGACAGGTTTGGCACGTTGCCTCTTGTTGTCTTCGATAATCTCTTTGAGGATATCAGGCACAGAACTAACTTTGGCGATCATTTCTGAAATGTTTCCAGACAAATGCACAATTTTAGAAACCACTTTACTCCTGTCATGTTCCTGGAAGAGGTGCCTTTTTTTAAAGCAGTAGGCAAAATGTTCACTTAATGCCTGGGTTTTGTGGTATGATAGTGAAGGATCTCTCAGTATTTCCTCAGTGCGTTGACAGATTGTTTCCAGCATGTCAATAATCGGGTTTACTTTATCCTGAAATCCATGAAGTTCCTCTTCAACAGATCGTTTTAAGTTCTTTTCCTGCTGTGTTTTCCTGTTTAGTCCAAAAGCAGCACATAATACAGCAACTACAGCCGCAGCTGCCCCTGCTGCAGAAAAAACATCACAATCCTCTTCATCAATTACAAAAAACGATAATGCCAACAACACCAGTGCGATTCCTCCAGTTATTACTCCTCCACTGAGTGCATAAATAGCAAATCTGTAACCATTTTTAAACTTATTGATGAGATCATGAATTTTCTCCAAATGCTTGATACATTCTAGGGAAATGTCCCTTTGAAGTCTAGTCAATTCATCTGTGAGATGAAAAACATCAGATCTAAAAAAAAACAGAGCAGAAACATCAGGGATTTTTATACAGTATATAATGTACGTCTCATAATACAAATATTTATATTTTAGTACATATATGATAAACGTGCGTATATTAGCTGATATGTATCAATGAAACAGTTTCTTTAATTTGATACTTTATGCTACATAAACAGTATGACTACACAGGCTTTTATTATTATGCTTTTTTTCAAAACATTGTCACATTATCAAAATTATTCTAAACACTCAGATAATTGTTCTGGTCCTTTGTATCAAGTGAAAACCCCTAAAAATACACAATGTATTAAAATAATAACAACGATCTCTTACAACATGTTAGGTGGTAGCTCCATGCTTCCGCGCCGATGGTGACCTCTCGGTGAAGCCATTGTTGCTGTGATTAAGCAGCAAAAGAGTTATTTGTCATGTCAGGACCAGCTAGGACATTGCAAATGTAAGAGACTAGCAAGATCATCATGCAGACAGTCAAGCCAGTCGTCTACTATAATGTGATTTTTATATATCATTCATGATGTTGACAAAGAATTGAATAGATTTTCTTTC